ATTTTGAGACCCCGACCAAAGTGCTCTCTGGGATATATATGGGGAAAGGCGGCCCTGCAGGTATGCTGGTCCCTGGCCATATAGGGCTTTAAAGGTAAGAACCTTGAAGCATTTTCGGTATGCTATTGGCAGCCAGTGCAGTTGCCACAACACAGGCTGGATGTGCTCCCACCTGGGGAGACCCATCAGAAGCCTGGCTGCAGCATTCTGCACTAGCTGCAGCCTCCGAATCTGCAATGAGGGCAGCCCCATGTGGAGAGTGTTAGAATAGTCTAGTCTCGAGGTGACCATCACATGGATCACTGTTGCTAGGTCAGCATGGTCAAGGAAGGGAACCAACTGCCTGTTCACCCGAAGATGATAGAAGGCCGACCTGGCAATGGCCGCTACCTGGGCCTCTGTTGTCATGGAAGCATCCAGGAGCACTCCCAGACTCCTAACCTCTGGCGCTGGCACCAACGGTAGCTGTGCATCTTATAAAGGAGAGAAGTGTGCCACAATGGTATCCTGTGAGCGTATTGGGAAATGCTGGCTTTGCTAGATGGGGGGAACTGAAGTGTTCTTTCTTCCAAGGATGCCGGCATATGCAAATCTGGCAGAATTGGTGCTGGATAATACTATCCAGAACGTTCTGGTGGAGGCCAGTCGTGGTGAGGTGGTGCTGACAGCGAGACCCAGAATCATTGCCCTCCCTCCTCTTCTCTTCCAAAAGTAAGTAGGGGGGGGGGTCTGGTCTCTGGAAATAAAAGCCACACTTGCAGATCAATGTTAGATTTGAGCATGAGGTCAGGGCAAAGGAAAGGGGGAGCTTGGGTGATGCCCATTTTAGCAGTGGCGAAAGCTGTTTATGTGGTCCAAGAGTTTTCCGTGCCGTTTGCTGGGAGCCTGGGGGGGGAAGGGTCTCAAGGGGGGAGGATGAGTGTGGGCAGCCACAGGAGAATGGTCAGAGGTCTGGGTAGTAAAAGCCGCAACGCATCAACTATTGCACTGAGCTTGGCGAATACTCTGCAATTACAGCTCCTCCATGAAGGACCAGGATACATCAGACAGAACTAAAGATTTCTGTGGCAGCTCCAGTTCTAGAAGGAAAGTCAGGACAGAATATGAGGAATACAGGTATTCCCCCCCCCCCCCCGACTTTTGACTGTTGACTCTGAATCACGGTGCCCTACTAGGGTCTGGGCTGAATCCCTGTTCCCTAAAAGCCAGAAATTGGCCTTGCTGTAACATGGTGCGGGGTGAAACAGGTAGAAATTCAAAGGAAACTTTTTCTTTCAGAGATTTCAGTTCTGCTGAGTCCTGCGACAGGCTGTCCCAGGTTTTTGTGGTACCGCTGAGCTGTCTGTCGAGTGAGATGAAGGATTCTGATCGGCAGCGGCACATCACCTTGCCCTCTTAGGAGCCTGACAAACTCTGATGCCTTTCGAAGCCAGTATTTGCAGCAGTCTAGCCTCTGTGTAAGCCGTAGCAGTCCTAGAAAGCCTGCCTCCTTGATCAAATGAGACATGATTTGCAGCAGAACTGTAATGTGGACCCTGCCTGTCATAGTGATAGAAGTGGAGGAGGCTGTATCATGCTGTCTTCAAAATCTGATTCAGTTTTGCAGCAAAGGAAGATGGTTCCACTTGTGTTCCATGAGACAGATTAGGAGGTTTTTTCAAATGAAGGTAACTGCTTTCACATTTGCAAGTCTTCTGTGTTAGTGTTCAAGTTTTTTCCCCCCAGCAGGGGGCAATGCAGGCTTCTTCTTGTCTGGTATGATGTAAATTCAGCAGGGGATAGTGCAAGGTATTTTCCTTGCTGGTCATATAATTTCAGCCACATATGCAAGCCATGGAGCTATATTGAGCACTAGGAACCAAAAATCTGAGCTATATGGTCTTTGAGATAAACCAGCTGCAGTATCTCTCACATACTTACCGTCCAGCTGACCAAGGAACAGGATGGGACTCATTCATCCTTGCTATCTTTTCTGTCCTCCAACAGCCAGAGGTTTGTACACATTGAACAGGAAATTCTACCGTGTTGCAGTGAGGAAAAAAGCTAGACCAGCACAACCTACATTTGCCGCACATCATCAGGTTTTTGTTCCATTGAGCTTAAAGCCTTTGCAACAGCAGCAGCACCATTGCAGTTCCCTGTGCTGTAGGTTTATAGGCAGCACCAAAACACAAATATTAAGCTGTTCAACTTGCACAAATATTAAGCTGTTCAACTTGCAAAACACAAATATTAAGCTGTTCAACTTGCATCCTGCACAGATCTCTTTGTAGCTAAGAGCCCTGCTCTTAAACTTGCTGAGACATCTATACTAAAGGTCTTTTCCTGATGGGAATAAGTTGCGTAAATTAAATTATCAAATGTGTGGGAAAAGTGGATCACCACACATCTTCCTTTTTAATCTAGCCTATTTAATAAATATACTCTTATAGAGGAATTCCTGTAAACTTGGGTTAGGCATACTTTAGGATTGAAAGGATTTTTTCTTCTTTTTTGTCAGAACTTCAAGGTCCACCAGCTGGAGACTGTTGGAAAAAAGACTCTTTCCAAATACAAAATAGTTCCACTACAGGCAGGGCCAGTGACAGTTACTTGCTACACCACATCAGCCATACATTGGGGTGTCAGACTGTACAGGTACAGATTCACATCTAATTTATTACCCATTAGGGATTCCAACATAAAAATCCTAAAATTGTTACTCACACAGACTGGGTCACAGGCAGCCAATGAATATTACTATTTTACAGGCAAGGAACACAGGCTAAGAAGCAACTATCCCTTCTTATTTCCAACATGAGTCATAATTCTTATTTAGGACTTATTTAGTGGCTCAATGTTTAAGATGCTGAACTGCAGGCTGGAAGGTCAGTAGTTCAGTAGTTCGAGACCCGAGTGCCGCATGACGGAGTGAGCTCCTGTCTCTGGTTCCAGCTTCTGCCAACCTAGCTGTTTGAAAGCAAGAAATTGCAAGAAGATAAATAGGTACTGCTTTGGTGGGAAGGTAACAGCATTCCATGTGCCTCGATGTATAGTCATGCCAGTCACATGACCATGAAAATGTCTTCAGACAGTGCTGGCTCTTCGGCTTGGAAATGGAGATGAGCACTGCAACCCTAGAGTCGGATTTGACTGGCTTTCAAGCAAGGGAAACCTTTACCTTTACCTTTTAGAGGAGCATAAAGATAGCGGCTAGACAAAATAACTGTGTCATAATAGGTGATTTTAACTACCCACACACTGATTGGGTCAATATGTGTTCAAGTTGAGAAAAAGAGATTGAGTTTCTAGACACTCTCAATGATTGTGCTATGGAACAGATGGTCACAGAACCTACCAGGGGAGAGACGATCCTGGATTTGGTCCTAAGTAACGTCCAAGACCTGGTGAGAGATGTAAAAATGATTGCACCACTTGGGAACAGTGACCATAATGTTATTGAGTTCAGTATTTGTATAAATAGGGAGTTGTCCAAAATGACCAACACAAATGCTTTTAACTTTAAAAGGGGTTAATTCTCTGCATGGTTAACAAACAAAGTAATGGAAAGGTAAAAGGTAAGAAGGATTCCTTTAAGCAAGTCTCAGGTTGATAAAAAGGAACACAGGCTGTGGCAAATAAAATGCAAGTCTGTGATCAGGCAGGCAAAAAGGGAATATGAGGAGCATATATAGCAAAAAAAACATAAACAATAAAACTTTCTTCAAATACATTAGAAGCAGGAAACCAGCCAGGGAGGCAGTGGGGCCCTTGGATGACCAAGGGGTAAAAGGAGTACTGAAGGATGATAGGGAAATGGCTAAGAAGCTGAATGCATTTTTTTGCCTCCATCTTCACTGTGGAAGATGAGAAGTGCTTGCCCACTCCAGAACCGCTGATTTCGGGAGGGGTGTTGAAAGACCTGAGTCAGATTGAGGTGACGAGAGAGGAGGTCCTAAAACTGATAGACAACTCAAAAACTGATAAATCACCAGGCCCAGATGGCATACATCCGAGAGTTCTGAAAGAACTCAAATGTGAACTTGTAGATCTCCTGACAAAGATATGTAATCTTTCCTTAAAATCTGCCTCCATTCCTGAGGATTGGAAGGTAGCAAATGTCACTCCCATCTTTAAAAAGGGTTCCAGAGGAGATCCAGGAAATTACAGGCCAGTCAGTCTGACGTCGATACCGGGTAAATTGGTGGAAACCATTATTAAGGAAAGAATTAGTAGGCACATAGCTGCCTCCATTCCATAGGACTGGAAGGTAGCTAATGTCACTCCCATCTTTAAAAAAGGGTTCCAGAGGAGATCTGGGAAATTACAGGCCAGTCAGTCTGATGTCGATACCGGGTAAGTTGGTGGAAACTGTTATTAAGGAAAGAATTAGTAGGCACATTGATGAACAAAAACTATGGAGGTAGACCCAGCATGTGTTCTGTAAGGAAAGATCTTGTCTCACTAACCTGTTAGTGTTTTATTGAGGGAGTGAACAAACATGTGGACAAGGGGGTGCCAATAGATGTTGTTTACCTTGCCTTCCAGAAAGCTTTTGATAAAGATTCTCATCAAAGGCTCCTAAGTAAGCTCAATAGTCATGGGATAAAAGGACAAATCCTCTTGTGGTTCAAAAACTGGCTAATTAATAGGAAACATGGGCAATTTTCTCAGTGCAGGGTGGTAAGCAGTGGGGTACCACAGGGATCAGTACTGGGTCCGATGCTTTTTAACTTGTTTATTAATGATTTGGAGTTGGGAGTAAGCAGTGAGGTGGCTACATTTACAGATGCACAAAGTTGTTCAGGGTGGTGAGAACCAGGGAGGATTGTGAGGCACTCCAAAGGGACCTGTTGAGGATGGGCAAGTGGGTATCAACGTGGCAAATGGGGTTCAATGTGGCCAAGTGCAAGGTGATGCACATTGGAGCTAAAAATCCTAACTATAAATACACGTGAGGTCCGAACTGGCAGAGACAGACCAAGAGAGAGATCTTGGAGTTGTAGTAGATAACTCAATGAAAATGTCAAGACAGTGTGAATCTGCAATAAAAAAGGCCAACGCTATGCTGGGGATTATTAGGAAGGGTATTGAAAACAAATCAGCCAGTATCATAATGCCCCTGTATAAATCAATGGTGTGAATTAGATAACCATATGGAGGGAAGTCCATCAGTGGTTATTAGCCACAAGGTGTAGATAGGAACTCTCAGGCTGGGGCAAGTGATGCTCTGTATTCTTGGTGCTTGGGGGGGAGGGGCAACAGTGGGAGGGCTCCTAGCGTCCTGGCCCCACTGCTGGACCTCCTGATGGCACCTGGTATTTTTGCCCACTGTATGACAGAGTGTTGGACTGGATGGGCCTTTGGCCTGACCCAACATTGGCTTCTCTTATGTTCTTATGAGCAGCTGTAGTGCAGCCAGCTAGACTAGTAGGGCAAGCCCTTCCAAAGGTGAGGTGAACGTTCTGAAAATCAGAAAGCTGAAGAAGATGACAATGGTATTCTCTTTAAAACACAGGGCACTGGGCAATGAAGACTCCCTGCGGCTTCTGAGTCAGGAGCTTTAGGAAATCCACTATGGATCAGGCTGGTATCTGCAGATAGACCACAATCTGAAAGTGAAGTATGTGGAATGAAGCTAATTTTAGTTCAGTGGGACTGGAATTGTAATCCAAGTACTTTTCTTTGGTAGGTATACGCAGAAGGCTGCTTTTTTTCTTGGACCTTCTTATCCACCTGCAAATTAGGGGCAACAGCTCCATTTATTGATATTTCTCCCCAAAGGAGCTGCAGTGGCTCAAGTGGTTAAGATTCTGAACTGCAGGCTGTGGAAGGTCGGTAGTTCAGCAGTTTGAGACCCGGGTTGCCGCATGATGGAGTGAGCTCCCGTCTCTAGTTCCAGCTCCTGCCAACCTAGCAGTTCGAAAGCAAGAAATTGCAAGTAGATAAATAGGTACTGCTTCGGTGGGAAGGTAACAGTGTTCTGCGCGCCTCTGCATTTAGTCATGCCAGCCACATGACCACGGAAATGTCTTTGGACAGTGCTGTCTCTTCGGCTTGGAAACGGAGATGAGCACTGTAACCCTAGAGTCAGATTCGACTGGCTTTCGAGCAAGGGAAACCTTTCTCCCCAAAGAAGACTCAAAGTGGCGTTCAACATTGTTCTCCTCTCACCCATTCCAATCCTGTGAGGGTAGATTAGGCTCAGAGAGAGTGACTGGCCCAGAGTCGTCATCAAGCTTCCGTGGCAAAGTGGGGATTTGAACCTGGGTCTTCCATATCCTAGCCTCACACTCTAGTCACTACACCACCCTGGCTGTACTTAGTGACATGGTTCTTTTCTGGTGGCAAATGCAGAAAACATAGAAAGATGCTCAGATACTGAAGCCAGGGCAGGCTCCTCATCAAGTGCAATCCGTT